TCACCAGAGAGGCACCATCTTTGGGTTAGTAGTGCAACTAAAACTACCTACAGACTACACTGTCAGAGACCCTAATCCAGAATGATGATGTTGAACTAAAACATTTGTTTAAATAAGTATAACACAAGAACATTTCTGAACCCTGGAGTTTATCCATTCTGGGTTGGTTTTTGTTTGGTTTTTTGTTTTGTTTTGTTTTGTTTTTTTCATTTGGTGAACTTTAGAAATGGATTGCTATATGCCTAGTACTAGATCAGTAATTTTTCAGAAATGTTATTCACCTAAAGTAATTGCAAATTTCTTCAACCTGTTGTCTCTTCTTCTGAAAATTCAGCTTGTACTTTCTGAATGCATGTGTCAGAAAAAGGTAACTGACTTTGAAAGGCAAAGAATGTCTGATGTTTGAGCACGAAGCAGGAAAGTCATTGTTCTTAGAGCAAAGAATGATATAATTTTGACTTAACAATTGTATTATGAAAAGGTAATTTATTATGTAAAGGAATAACTGCCATTACTCTGTGGAAAAGAAAAAGAACACAAGATACCCTAAGAGGGAAATGGATTTGTTTAAAAGAATTTCTCTAAAGCAGACTAATCTTAGTTGTCCTGGGAAAATAGTGTTGGCTTAGCAGAGTTATCCCTATCCCCAAGGTATTTCGTGTGAAATATCACATTCTTTGTATTGCTGAAAGCTTGGAAGGAGGAGTGGCATCCACTTCCATAATAGCTTGCCTCTGGAAACCCTATGAACCTGGAGAGAGGATGAGAGACACCCAAGCGTCGAGGATTCTCCTTCATAGGGTCACTATGAGTCACCTGCAACTCGACAGCACCTAACAACAACAACAGCATTTGCTGAAACTTTTTAAAAATTATACTCTAGGCACAATTTGATATCTGATGAGTTGAGCAATGTTTGTCTTGCTGATATAGGTGGACAGAATGTGGCTGTTTGGCTAAAGGGGAGTAGACTAAAAGACTGAAACTACCTTTCTATACCAAAAAGAAAGAGAATAGTTGCATTTCATGTATGGACACAAAGCTCAGTTACAATTGCAAGATGGAAGCTATGAAGGGTATAGTTCACAGGATCATTTCCTAGTATAGCTGAATGAAACAGCAAAAATGTGGAAGTATTGCACCTCCATCACCGGGGGTGACTAAACAGCTTCTGGATGCTAAGGGTCAGGAGTTTTGGTGAGACATTCTATGCGCTATGTGGATAGGATCATATCAAACCCTGGAAAACTCTTCTAAAAATGACATTCCATGTCTCTACAAGAGCTTGAAGTTTGCTAGAATGGTCACCACTAGGTGACACGCTTGTGTCACCACCTAGTGGTAATTTAAGACTCTTGTCTCTGCTGATGCAAAGTAAAATCAGAAACATGACCTGACTAGCCTAACCAACAAAATATACTCTCTTAAGAAGTTCATTCTTTGAAAAAAAATTGTTATCACTAGAAGGAAAATTCTTAAAGACCTATTCTCAAAATTAGATACGCTTTCTAATCCTTGTGTCTTCTTAATAGTTTTAGAATTTAATATTACTTTCCATGAAAGTACTTCTATAGATAAAAAAATAATTTCTGAACTTTTCATAGGTCTGCTATGTCTATTGCTCTGAATTTTGTTGTTGTTGTTAGATGTCGTCGAGTCGATTACAGCTCATAGACAGCCTACCTACGGATAACAGAACTGAACCCTGTTCTATCCAGTGCCATCCTTATTGACTGACGTACTTGAGCCCATTGCTGCAGCAACCACGTCAATCCATCTGGTTGAGGGTCTATCTCTCTTCACTGACCCTTCACCTTCCCCAGCATGATGTCCCTTTCCAAGGAAGAGCCCCTCCTAACAAACAACATGCCCAAAGTATTTGAAGCGAAGCTTCGTCATCCTTGCCTCCAAGGTGCATTCTAGCTGCAGCTGCACTTTCTCCAAGACATACCTGTTTGTTCTTCCCCCACCATTGTGTTTTCATACTATCATTCCCATACATTGTATATTATAAAATCAACCACCCAATAGTCCATGCCTACCAGTATCCCATCTTTTCAGATTTCCTTTGTGTCTTTCATAATTCCTTCACCCCTTCCCTCCACCTACCAAATTCTGTGATCTTGTAATTTTCCCCTCTCCCTACTCTTAGCCCTTCACCATAACTCTTTCTCCACATACATCTTACTAGTTATCCTCTTTAAACAGTAATTGTCTTATGCAGTATTTGTCCTTATGAGCCTGACTTAGTTCACTCAGCATAATGTATGTTCCTTTTGCAATGGGCTATTCAGTACTCTTTTCCAATACCACAAATCAAAGGCACTGATTTTTCTTCTGTCATCCTTATTCATTGTTCAGCTCTCAGATGCATACATAACAAGTGATTGGAAAGACCATGGCCTGAATAAGGCACACCTGCATCTTTAAACTCTGCATCATTGCTCTTTAGTATTTTGGAGAGGTCCTTGACAGCTGACTTTCTCAAAGCAACAAATAAAATCTTTTGATTTCTTGACTGCTAGTAGTACTAAGGATGTTTCTTGTGAATCCAAGTAAGATGAAATTGTTGATAACTTCAATTTTTTTTCATCTGTCATGATGATGCCTAATTGGTCCAATGGTAAGGATTTTTTGTCTTGATGCTGCGATGTAATCAATAAGAAGATTTTGTATTGTTTTGGGTTTTTTGTTGTGTTCCATCGAGTCAGGACCAACCAATAGCCGACCCTCTGGCGAATTTTCAGAGGCAGTTAATTGCACTGGAGGAGACTGCCTATCCTTCTTCCATGGAGCATCTGGTGGCCTCAAACCACATACCTTCAGGATTGCAGCACAGCTTTTTACCACTGTTTTGTGGTTGGGTTTTTTTTTTCATTGTCTGAGGGTTTTTGTTGTTGTTGTCATTACCTGTCACCTAGCAGCATTCATACAATGTTAATAATATTATGCTCCATTTTGTGATGGCCTAGTGGCAAGAAGCTGCACTGCAATCCCAAAGGCATGTGGTTCGAGGCTACCAGCTTCTTTGTGGGAGAAGATGCGTAGTCTCCTCTTGTGAGATTAACTGCCTCTGAAAACCTGCTGGAGGGTCAGCAATAGGTCATTTCAAACTCTACAGGACACAAAACAACATCAGTTATTTACAGTATAAGGAGTTCTACTAAACCTAAAGTTTGGCAGTTTGAATCCAGTAGCTTTTCCAACAGAGAAAGAAACCCATTGGGGAATCACTATGAGTTAAAAACTTATTCAAAGGTAGTAGGTTTGCAATTGCTTTGTATTTATAGTATCTCATCTTTCAGTCATAAAACCAAGTGGCTAGGATTAAAAGTATGAATAAATAGGCAGAGAGGGTAAGTAACCTATCCAAGGACACAGGCAAGATGATGCTTCCCAATCCATTTTGTGCAGGAGTGAGATGGTTCAAGAAACACTACAGATACTATACCAACTAGGACATGCACAGTGATTTTAGATTAATAAAGACTTCAAGAATTCCTGAAGCAAAGACACCTGTACAACTTCACACAAAAATTTTTCAAACATATTTAGCCACAACACATCCCCACAATACACATGTAAATATAAATTTATTTTTTTTAATTTTGTGTGTGTGTGTATACCATCAAATCGGATCTGACTGGTACAGGAGGAGATTGCCCCTCCTTCTCCAGCAGAGCATCTGGTGGATTCAAACCATATACCTCTAGGATTGCAGTACAAGCTTCTTGCCACTAGACCACCATAGCTCCACGTAAATATAAATTTTTAAGAACAATAATTGGTGTCTCACAGAACACCAGTTTTCTGTTAAGAAGTGCTATAAGATATTAATGTGGAATTAAAACTCCGTAGTTAAATCACTAGATTTATTAGCAATGTTTCCTTATTTTCACTGCATCAAGAAAAGTAGGCTTACTTTTTAAAAAATCATTTGTTCATTCATGCACACTTTCCTACCTCTCCTTCCCTCTCCCCAATTCCCTTCAGAACATTGTTAATTGTCATATACATGGTTTCTTTATGAGTCCCTTATTAGATATATCACTGGCAAATATTTTTTCCCAGTCTGTGGGCTTCCTTTTTACTCAGTTGGAGAGTCAATAGACTTTATGGAGGAGAAAAGACTGGTAGGACTTACCGATGTGGAATTCAAAAGAACAATGGTTAAGTGTTTTCACTGGCTACAAGAAAGATACAAAGCATTTCAGGCAACTCCAAACTAAACCCTAGAGAAACTTTAAAAAGCAATACAATGAAAATCCAACTTTTCTCTAAACTTTTGTTAAAATCACAATTAAAAGAAAAAACTTTTTTTTTAAAAAAAAAAAGGTCATACAAGACAAAACAGATAAAACCAGCGAAGCTATAGAAACCGGAGAAAAACAAGAAATAACAATCCAGAAGGCCAACATCTCAGAAGCTATTAATATGTTGGAGAACAGATGAGCAGAATTCACTTCCTCTTAGCTGAAAAGATACACAGTTTCTCAAAAAAAGAGTATATTCCCCCAAAAGAGTAAATTCCCAAAAAGCTTTTACAATGAAGACTTTACACTAGTCTCAAATTTATACAGATTGCATCTACTAAAGGAATGCACAAACTGGAAGTTTTTACTTAATCCTTGTTCCTCTGATTCTTCTAGTATATCCAGCAGTGGTGGCAAAGATGCTATGAAACCATCTTACTTCCCTGTATGAACTCTACAATTTAAATACAATGGAGACTTTTTGGTTTGTTCTAATAGCTAATGTCCTCTTTCAGCATTTGCTCATATTGTCAACATTATATTCAATATGAGTGATTATGAAGTCTGCTGTCTTCTGAGGTCATCAAATATATGAGCAAAACCCAGGAGACAGAACAGTTACTTAAACAATCTTTCAAATGCACTTTAGGGTGAAAGATCATCCCAGTTAGCTTGACGTAGTTTTTGAATGCCAGCTGTAAAGACAAGAAGTTATTTCTTCCATGTGTATGAGAACCACAGGAGACCTCATCCAAAATCACAGTTGAAGTGCTTCTGAGCTACCAGGTTCTTCACAGCAGCTGTCACATCCTTGTTTCTCAGACTATAGATGATGGGATTGAGCATCGGGGCCACCACCCCATAGAAGAGGGGTATGAGCTTATCTGAAAGGTTCTGTTTTTCTACCCCCAGTGAATCTTTAGATTTGGGCTTCACATACATGAAAAGCAAAGTACCATAAAAAATGACCACCACAGTAAGGTGAGAAGAACAGGTAGAGAAGGCCTTTCTCTTCCCTTCTGCTGAAGGTATCCTTATGATAGTTGCAATGATGAACATATAGGAGACAGAGATGAACAGAACTGGGCCTGCCAGGAAGATCACATTTGTAACTCCCATGCTGATTACATTGATGGAAATGTCAGCACAGGCCAATTTCAAGACCGCCAAAATCTCACAGGTTAAGTGCTTGATAACGTTGTTACCACAAAAGGGCAACTGAATTGTCAGGGATGTGTGTACCAGAGAAGCAGCGCTACCAATAGCCCAGGAGCTGGCAGCCATAGGCACATAGGTAGTCCTGCTCATGATCATGGGATACCTAAGGGGGCTACAGATGGCCACATAGCGGTCAAATGCCATCATGCCCAGAAGCAGACACTCTGTTCCTGCTGTGGCGAAGGAAAGTGTCATCTGCAATGCACAGGCTGCAAACGAGATTGTTTCCTGGGGTGTCAGGAAGTTGTCCAGGACCAGAGGGACAGAGGCAGTTGTGTAGCAGATATCCAGGAAGGAGAGATTCCCCAGGAAAAAATACATGGGAGTGTGCAGGTGGGAGTCCATGATGGTCACCAAGATGAGAACCCCATTCCCCAGTAGGATCACCAGGTACATCAGCAGCACCAGAACAAAGAAAATCTTCTCCAGTCTTGGGTAACCAGACAGTCCCAGAAGAATGAACTCTGTCAAAGGGGTGGTCCAATTGGTTTTTTCCATGTTGTATCCTCCCCTGTCATTGGCAGTGTATAAAGCAGCTTTCTTCCCTACTGAATAATAGAATATCGGTGCATAGAAAAAGTGACTGAAAGAGATGATAGAGGAGTTTGGTTAATTATTAGATGAAAGCAAGTTATAGCTGCAATAGAACTTACAACAACCGGCATTGGATGAGGGCCTCACATGTTCAGATGTGTGCTAACCAATTTTCTGCTATTGTTAAATCTTGTAAAATGCCATTGTGTGTAAAAATACAACTGCCAGTCAGAGGAAAACTGTGCTTCACACAGTTTTCAATGGCTAATTTTTTGGAAGTATACACCAGGCCTCTCATGTGAGGCACCTTTGGAGGACATAAGTCTTTCTGTTAATAGGCAAGCATGTTAACTGTTTGTACTACCCAAGGACTTAACTTCAAATATTTTTATGACTCCAGTTAATTGCAGTGTGGTGTTGTACAGGAAAAGATGAATGATGGACAGTGAGTGATTAACATTTGTGAACTTGTCTGTGCTATATTCTTTGAAACATCTCATTGAGAATATACTGTCATTTAGTTTTATAGAGGAAGCAACCAAAACACCGAGGAGCTAAAGAATTTGTTATTTAGAGTTAAACAAAAGAGCTGAATTGAATGTGAGTTTCCAATTCTAAGTTCTTTTCACCAAATATTTACCTTACTGCTTTAGTTCACAAATTTTACAAAAAGTTTTGTCTCTCTGATACCAGTTGGGTGTATTCTCTGGTCTATGTCGTTTCCTACTGAACACTCTGTAGTTCATGTGAGAGGTGTCTTGTCAGACAGGGCAGCTCTTCCCCTGAATCTAACAGGCATTTGGCCCAACTCTATTTGACATTTGAGGCAAGAATCCTTGCTTTTGGGAGGTGGTTCTGTGCGCTGTTGGATGTTAGTGTGTTTAACAGTGTCTTTGGCCTCAACCATTAGTTGAATCAGCAGCTTCTCCTCTCCCCTCCCCATTGAAGGTGTAAAAACCAAAAACGTATCCAGGCATTGTCATGTCCTCTGTGAGTATGAAGGGCAAAGATATTAATCTAGCCCAGTAAAAACCTCACCCATTCCTTATACAACCATGGGTTTGATGGCATTTGCTATGCTGTTCCAACGCACTTCTGCTACCTCTGATTGCGGCAATGAATGAATGGAAATCCAAAACCTCTGTAAAAAAAAAAATAAAATAAAAAAATTATTAAAAAAAACCAAAAACTCAGGGTGTCCCTGATTGCTGAATCCAGGTCCACTCTGAGTGCCCAACTAGCTTCTCTGGTTTTACCTACATTTCTTCAAGTAGCTGTCTTGCTCCCTCCAGGGGAAAAAAGAAGTGAGGTGAACCCCCCAACGTAAACGTTCTAGCTAGCATTACAAACAAGAGTTAATAGTGGCAAGGAAATGTGGAGGCCTCTGCTAGGGGAATCATACCTTTCCACCTCTATCAGGTAAGACTACAAATGTTTCTACTTGTGAATGACATGGCAGAAACCATGTTATTTGGCATGAGTGATGCAGAAGTTCTCACCTGCATAAAAGCTGTGCCTGAGGTAGTGTTAGTTTCTGGCACCTGAACATTGTTAAGTAAGCTTGTTTAAGCTAAGTGAATGAAAACATTGGGAAAACTCTGAACCTAAGACCAAAGTTCTGTGGCCTATACCTGCTTTGATTTGAAGGTACTGGGGGGGGGCCTGAGCAAGTCCTTTCTCCTCTCTAGACTTCCATTTCCCTACAGGGATCATACATCCCCCACTTTGACAGGTGGTTCCCTGTCATCTTTGAAGATAGCTGCCGTGTGTGTGTGTGTGTGTGTGTGTGTGTGTGTGTGTGTGTGTGTGTGAAAAGGAGACCTGAATTCTTGGTTGCCCAGCAGGAAATGTCAGGAGAAAATGATGGGCTATGTCAGGCTTTGGAGGAAACTCAGAGTAGAGGAAAACAAAGAGATCTGGCACAGGTAGTCCAGCAAGAGAGAAAGGAGGTAAGGGTGGGAATCGGGTAAGGAAGTAGAGAGAGCAAGAAGGACTACATCCTGAAAGTGTCAAGCCTCAGATTGTCCTTCTTGACTCTGTAAACCAGTAGCAGCCAATAAATAGGTTGCAATGACATGGAGTAGAAAGAGTTTTTAAAAAAAAAAAGAGAGAAAGAGAAAGAGTCTCAAGCATTCTCATACAGCCATTCCAGTAGGCAATTTGTCTTATAGAAGGGAAAATCTGTGAAAATCCTTATATCTACTTCCTAAACAATTTCACCTCTTCAAAACAATTGTAAAGAAATGGTGGACGAGGGGATATCAATATCTCTCAGTAACGGTCTGCATCCTAGAATATTTCTATGTAAAATGAGGAAGCACTAACTGTCCAGCAATAATTGCCTCAGTAAATTATGGTTTTTCCATATCATAGCATATTAGGGAGACATTCAAGTTGGTTTAAAAATATGCACTACATGATTACATTACAATATTCAATAGATACAGAGAACACAAAATTATGAGACAGATGATACGTATGACTGTAATAGTGACCTGGAGGAAATGACTGCCAAGTCCGTGGAGGAAGAGGTTTCTTCTCCATTCCTCCTACTTGTTGCTGTTATTTTCCATCAAGTCAAACCCTACCTACAGCTGCCCCTCTAGTGGGTTTTCAGAGGTTGTGAATCACATGGGGGCAGACTGACCATCTTCCTCTGTTGGAGTAGCTGGTGGGTTCGAACCACATGCAGTTGGGTTAGCAGCCCATCTCTTTACCACCAAGCCACTAGAACTCCCTCGTTCCTCCTTAGTATCACCAGAAATTTCTATCAGTACAATTGGTATAATTTTTTTTGTGTGTACAGAACAATTTTCTGCATTTATAAAAGGAAAGTGGGAAAGCAGAAATAATTACCTGATACCAGATGGACACGACCTTGGGTCCTGGCTGGCCTGGTTGGTCAGCTGATCCTAAGGAAAAAGTTCTCCCTTTTCTCTGACCTTCTTCTTTATCCCTACAGTGAAGACAGGCACACTCGCCTGCCTCCTTTTGGGGCTTTATTTAAGGATGGAACGGAAATGTCTGGGAAGGGACTTGGTCAGTGTTGCGCTCTGGCGAGTACTAAGGGCTATCTTGGGCTTACAGATGGTGCTCCTATCTGCTCCAGCATCCACTGTTCAGAGTCAGTTACAGCTAGATGGTTCATGGAGCAGAAGAAAGGAAGCAAAGAGGAAAAAAATATTTCAGGGAACTGGTGTGCCAAAAAGATCATTACCGCCTAAGTCCCCACTACATCCCAGCTATCCTTTTTTCTAGTCTCCTAATCACAAATTTCAACTCCTTCCTTTATTCTGAACCAGACCCTGGATGCCAGAAAAGGATCCAGGCCTTTTCTTACCCCCTTTACCTTTGAGACCCTCTTGCTTCTTTTATTTCCTAAATCCTTGTGGGAGTGTTAGCCTCCAGTGGATGTTTCTCTCACTTTGTTCCTCTTAGCTCTGCTGGCTGGATCCTGAGTGCTTCAACTCTAGATTCTTCATAGTGAAGACTCACTGTCCTGGTATGATGCCCAGAAATCCCAAGAATACATTTCCCCAGCCTTTGAAGTTCAAGCAGCTTCATGGACTGCATGGGGCACTTGATTTCCTGATTATTCCATCAGGGGCCCTGTTAATCCCAGAAGCAATTTAAAGTTTGGAATAGAAAGTGTGCATAGGTTCAGGCTCTAGGCATACCTGGAAGCTCCAGGGACCACGTTCCCTCACCCCAATTAGAGACAGTGAGTAGGACAGACCATCAGAACTGGAGAGAGTGATGCTCAGTGCATTCCAGCTTCCTCCAGAACTTTCCTTGAGGTCTCAGACTACTTTTGCTCACCAAAGGGCATCTGATCATCTCTAGATACACAGAACGAGGTAACACAACAGGTGTCTAACAACAGTAGCAGCAGAATTAGCATGATAAACGTTATCTTATTGTTTCTGTTTAATGTTGTGGTGTCATTTCTAACTCATATAAACCTCATAATGGTTGAGTCTGCAGCCATTGTGTCAATCTAGTTCACTGAAGATCTTCCTTTTTCCCCCCTGGCCTTCTACTTTACCAAGTGTGATGACCTTCTCTAAGGATTAGTCAGTCTCTCCTGAAAAAAACATGAAACAGATCATCGAGAGGCTGAGCTCTATGAGGGGGAATGTGGCATCTGGATTGAAGGAAGACTCATCAATAACCTGCATTATGCAGATAACACAACCCTGCCCACTGAAACTGAGGAGGACCTGAGACATTTGCTTCAGACGGTCAAGGACTGCAGCCTTCAATGTGATTGAAGCCCAACATCAAGAAAATAATGATTCTCACCACTGGACCAATTGGCAGCATCATAATAGATGGTGAAGAGATTGAGATTGTTAACAACTTCAGACTGCTTGGCTCCACAATCAATATTCTTGGTATCAGCAGAAATGAAATCAAAAGACAAATTCTATTGGGAAAAAATCTGCTGATAGAGTACTGAAGAGCAATGATGTCAGTCTGGAGACTAAGGTGTGCTGGATCCAGGCCATAGTCTTTGCAATTACTTGCTATGCATCAGAAAGCTGGGAAATTACTAGGAATGACAGAAAAATAATTGATGCCTTTGAGCCATGGTGCTGGAGAAGAGTATTGAATATGTCATGGACTGCTAGGATAACAAACAGGTTCAACCTAGAGAAGGTGAAACCAGGCTGCTCCTTGGAGCTACGGTTCTGAAGCTCTGTCTGATATACTTTGGCTATGTTACAAGGAGGGACCCGTCCTTGGAGAGGGACATTATGCTTAGGAGGGTTCAGGAACAGCTCAAGAGAGGGAGACCCTGATTGAGATGGATTGACTCAGTGACTGGGTTTATGAGGGTGGATGTGTGGGAGACGATGAGGTTGGCTCAGGATAGAGCAGGGTTCAGAGCTGTTGTATATAGGGTTGCTATGAGTCCCAGGTGACTTGAAGGCACATAAAAACAACAATCACTTTATCCTTTA